CTTGACAGCACCCCAATACATTTCAATAAAATTCAGTTCACAATGGAACTTGGGGTAGAAGTCGCAAAGATGACCGCGGGAAATTACATACTCTTCAAGCTGCGATTTTTGCCCAACAAAGTCGGGCTGGGTGAAAAGAAGCCTTCGACAACAGCAATCAGTGCGGCCAGGCTCACATTTGAAGCCGTCACATTGAGCGTTAAGCCCTGTTGCCAGCCAGAGACCACGTTCCTTGATGATCTGCTCCATGCCTTTGAAAAAGCCGGGCATTGTCGGATGGTTGTCCGGATGATAAAAGGACTGGGGAGATCCATCTGGATGAGTGCCGTTACACATTCGAGGTCCATCCTTGTGATGTGTCCAGTTTGGTGATGGTCGCTTGGGCATTTTGCGAGCCGAAAGTGCGTCGGCGGCCCGTTTTGATGGCTCGGGGTGTTGTCAAAAAGAAAAGACCGGTAACCATTTGTGAGTTTTCCTTTCAAAAATATCAATGGCCCGCTCGACTTCCTTGAGCATATCTTCTGCATCAAACCAACTATCATGAGTTTCCCTGCCTTGAAAATCAGGCGGGCTTCGCTGCATCGTGTATTAATTAAGTCTGAATTTCAACAGGAAAATAATAAGACTTACTCCTCATCGTCTAATAAGCGACCCCATTCTGTCGTCAAAAAATCAGACACCATGATTGATGTCCCCTCGCCCTTCCGTTGCGGTGTTGGCTTGTCCGTCTTATGAGTCCAGCCCATTTTCTTGCGATCATTCTGGAAGAAAGTTGATTCATCATGTGTGACCAATATCAGCTTGAAAGCACGTCCATCAGGAGGAATCGGTCCTTCACCCGACTGGGGTGTACGCTGCGGTCCCCGCTCCAAATTGCCATCATTGTTGTAGATGTTCATCCTTTTGTCGTAATCTTTCCACCGCGCAACGAAACCTTCGCGGTATTCCACGACATCCGGTGTTCATGTCCATCAATATACATGCCGTTCTTCTTTTTCCCGAATCTCCAGCCCATTTTATGCAACCATCGTTGAGCAGTACGGAGTGAAATTGATTTCCTTTGGTGCCAGATTGCTCCATCAGATCCTGCATTTCCGTGGAGTCAGCAATGAAGTCGACAATGTCCTGGGCACGAATATGGCCATCATTCTCCTTGGCTATTTTTTGGAGGTGTAATTGAATTAGAAGGGAAAAATCCTCATCGTCGAGCACAGTTGCACGGAAGGCACCAAGACGATGGAAGGGCAGAACCCTGCGGCTAAGGTACGCATGGAGCCATGTCCGAATATTTCTTGCGTGACTGACACCGTGTCCCTGTGATCGCGAGACGATGAGAGACGACTGTCTCCAAGTGTACGATAGCTCGGGTCCAGGTATAGATTTAAAGTTCCCACCATTGCCGTGATTCTGCGCGGAAAAAGACATCAATACTTTGTCTTTGCTCTTGATTTCCAGAGATGCTCTGCCCGACGCAGAGCGGGGAAATCCTTGTAATGCAGCTGATCTAGCGCCAGGTCCGAGGCCGTGGCTAAGCTGTCATCTTTGGGTGTTTTGCCTGCACGAAGATTGGCTAACATTTCCACTACTTTCGCGGCTGGATCTATGTTTTCCGACGTCTGTGTGAACTGATTAATTCTTGATCTGATTTTTGCCGAGTCTGGACTCACTGTCCGTGGCGATCATTGTCTGCATCATTTTCCGAGTTTTCTTCTTCTTCCTCCTCGCTCTCACTGGTGTGTCCTCCCGCATCTTGGGCTCCCTGATTATCTGGCAAGCTTTCTCCATCCTCTGGTACACTCCCTGAAGTCTGTGGCTGAGAACTGGGAGCCCCTGGTGCAGCTGATTCAGTAGCGCTGTCTCTTTTCGTGATCTTGTCGCGAACGTGTGTGAAAAAGGCGCCAACAGACAAGAAACCTTTCGCGCGCATGTCCCGGTTATTTTGGCCCGCCTCTCCTGGGTTCCTTTTGAGTTTTTGCCGTATCTGTGCGGCCGTTTTCGGCCCATCTCCTGTTCTCGCTCTCGGGCTACGGCAATCTCCTGGGCATGTTTCAAGGTTGATGTGAACATCTCCAACTCGGTGATCTCCTGAATCTCGGTTTCATCCTCGCATGCATCTTCGTCGTCAGAATCAATCTCGAGACTCTCCGGAGCAAAATCGTCGATCATGTCGAAACGGCCAATGATTTCAATGAGATTTGGGTCAATATCTGACGCATTTACAATAGGCGGGCACTCCGAGTCGGCTGAAGGTTGTTCCGAGTCGGCTGACATGTGGCGATGACAATCTCCTTCATCAGGAATTTCTTTGACACTTGGCGTTCTAGAGTCTGAACCAATGAACAATGAGCGGTGATATGTTTATTACTGTAATATTTACCATTTGCCTTGGATTCTCGTGTGTCAGTTGGTGGAGATGAAGTCTGAGCTGCCGACATTGTGGCATCCTCGCAATCTGACACTACAATCTTTTCTGGTGCCTTTTTCTTGGACTTGAAGAGGTTTTTGGTGCATGAGGCAATAGCCTTTGCGGTACGGGGCATTTTGACGCGTAGATAACGCGTAGAAGGCCCAGAAACACGCTTGAAAAGAGTTTTTTCGCCCCCCATCAAAAGTCACGTGAATCACGTGAATGTGGCTGTGCTCCGCCAAATATCGCGGTCTCCAAAAACCTAACTTCGTTCCAAACGCGTCGAAATGTCGAGAGGAAGCTTTTGGGTGAATAAAGAAATTGGACTTTGAGGTCTTATAACTATTTACAGTATAAATATTTGCCAAATCCCCCACATCAGAGTCAAGGAATAGGTCGAATGAATGAAATGATGAGGCCAGAATGTGTAAATACATGTTGTGGAAAGAGGAGTAGGCTTTTTCGACGGAGATGTTTTTGATTATATAATCAGGTGCCGGATCGGGGTGACACCTATCTTAGGAAGATAAGACCCTGTAGCACTTGGTGTGTATCTGCCTTGATTAATGCGTGCTATTGATCAGAATTGAAGCAGAAGGACCTGGTTCGACTCCAGGCTGGGTCATGCACCATTGAGCGTTCAATCGTTTTTCTCCATGCTGGCCATCCGGTTTTTTTCTTCGCCCACTCATACTGGAACAAAAGTAGGCTGAATAAGACCCGGTTGCACGAGGTGTTTATCTGCCTTAATTAATCGGTGGTTTCAATCAGAATTAAAGCAGAAGGACCTGGTTCGACTCCAGGCTCGGTCATTAATTATGGTTCTGTGAGCCTTTTTGCACGAGTCATCTACCAATTTTACCCACTCATACTGGAAAGAAGTGAGGTGAATAAGACCTGGTAGCACTTGGTGTGCATCTGCTTTCGGTAAATAGTGGATTGTGGCAAAATCTGGCAGAAGGACCTGGTTCAATTCCAGGCTGGGTCATAGGCGGTGTCGATATTATTTTTGGATAGGTAGTCGGTGAAATTTAAACCAGCTTATCCTGGATGGCCCAGGATGGAAACAAGACCTAGTAGCACTTGGTGTGTATCTGCTTTCATTTCGTCAAAACTATTCCAAATTACTGTGGAATAACCTGGTTCGACTCCAGGCTGGATCTTCGCGTGGATGTGACGATTTTTTGCCTTTTTGCACAATTCATCTACGCTAGTAATGCTGGAGCCGAAGTAGCGTAAAGACCCGGTAGCACTTGGTGTGCATCTACTTTCCGTATATCGTATCCATCGAATGAACAGAAGGACCTGGTTCGATCCCAGGTTGGGTCTTGGATCCAGATTATGATACTTTTTGCCCAATTCATCGGTCAAATTTACCCTGGTCACACCGGAATAGAAGTCAGTGAAATAAGACCCAGTAGCACTCGGTGTGCATCTGCTTTCCGTATACCATACACTGCGTTCAGACCCCCCCGTAGGCACAGGTCTGCCAGATCCTGATAGGCAGATGCGTAGGCAGACCAGTGTGCCAACCCTTGCCCATCCATCTGCCCATCCCTGCCGAGGTTGGTCTAGGTATTCCTACTGGATTAGGCACACATAGACTCACGTGGGCCGATGAGCCTAGCTAAGCCTAGTTAGCCAAATTCAAAATCTGACATTGTTTGTACCCATCCAGCCATTCCAACCAACACCAACCTAGACCCAGGTCAGCCAAGGTTGGCCAAGATAGACACATCACTGTGGGCGAAGATCTACCAAGGTGGGCAGGCTTTGCCTCGGTAGGGATGCGAGACCAACGTCGGCAGATGCCTATTAGGGTAGACCAACGTCGGCTTGGGTGGGCAGTCCGTAGGCGGGGATCGGTGAAGGTGGGCACATCTGTGCCTATGGGGGGGTCTGAATGCAGTGATATCCATCGGATGAACAGAAGGACCTGGTTCGATCTCAGGCTGGGTCTTGATACCGGATTGAGAAGTTTTTTGCCCAATTCACCGGCCGATTTCGACCCAGTAATACTGCGACGGAAGTAGAGGAAATAAGACCCTGTAGCACTCGGTGTGCATCTGCTTTCTGTATGCCATATCCATCGGATGAACAGAAGGACCTGGTTCGATTCCAGGCTGGGTCATATAAATCTACCATGAGCATTCAATATTTTTTCTCCATATCGGTCACCCGGTTTTTTTTCACTCACTCATACTGGACTAGAAGTATGGGAAACAAGACCCTGTAGCACTTGGTGTGCATCTGATTTCAGTGCGCCGTTACTCACGTTAAATTACAGCAGACAACTGGTTCGACTCCAGGCTGGGTCATAACAATGCAGCAACGAGTTTCTTTTTGCACAAGTCATCGGCTGAATTGTACCCTTCCAATCCTGTAACAGAAGTGAGGTGAATAAGACCTGGTAGCACTCGGTGTGCATTTGCCTTCTTCGGTTTGAACTCGTCACGTTAAATTACAGCAGACAACTGGTTCGATTCCAGGCTGGGTCATAGTACCAAAGCAGCAACGAGTTTCTTTTTGCCAATTCACCGTCTGAATTTTACCCTAGTTGTATCGGAACACAATTAATTATTAGGGTGGATAAGGCCCAGTAGCACGGAGTGTGCATCTGCCTTTTATGTGCTGAGCGAATCGGAAGTATTGCAGCAGAAGGACCTGGTTCGATTCCAGGCTGGGTCATTTGAGGGAATTTCGACTTCCTTTTTGCACAATTCATCAGCAGATTTTAACAGCTTACACTGGGACAGAAGTAGGAGAATAAGACCCTGTAGCACTTGGTGTGCATCTGCCCTCACTCGCCAAGTTTGAAACTATATTACTGCAGAACAACCTGGTTCGACTCCAGGCTGGGTCATGGCGAGAAATAGAAATCGGTTTTGTTTCCCACCTTGCCTCGGATGTGTAACGTACGTAGAGGATACAAACTCGAGGGAATGAGACCTGGTAGCACGGAGTGTGCATCTGCTTTCGATAAATGGTGCAGTGTGGCAAAATCTGGCAGAAGGACCTGGTTCGATTCCAGGCTGGGTAATAGTATATCCATCGGTTGCTTTTTTGCACAAGTTGTCGCCGGTCGGCGGATTTTAACCCTGTTATACTGCGACAGAAGTAAGGGGAATAAGACCCAGTAACACTCGGTGTGAATTTATATCATATCCATCGAATGAACAGAAGGACCTGGTTCGACTCCAGGCTGGGTCATTGGCTCGAAATCTGATGCTTTTTGCATAGGTTGCCAATTGGTTGCACACTACTTACAGTGGAGCGGAAGTAAGTGAAATAAGACCTGGTAGCACTCGGTGTGCGTCTGCTTTCGGTAAACGGTCGAGTGTGGCAAAATGTGGCAGAAGGACCTGGTTCGACTCCAGGCTGGGTCATAAAAACTGTGGTCGTGTTTTTTGCCCAAGTAATCGGCCGATTTTAACCCTATTATACTCTGACAAAAGTACGGTAAACAAGACCCAGTAGCACTCGGTGTGCATCTGCTTTCCGTATATCGTATCTATCGGATGAATAGAAGGACCTGGTTCGATCCCAGGTTGGGTCTTGGATCCAGATTATGATACTTTTTGCCCAATTCATCGGTCAAATTTACCCTGGTTACACTGGAACAGAAGTCAGGGAAATAAGACCCAGTAGCACTCGGTGTGCATCTGCTTTCCGTATATCATATCCATCGAGTGAACAGAAGGACCTGGTTCGATCCCAGGCTGGGTCTTAGATCCAGATTATGATGCTTTTTGCCCAATTCCCCGGCCGATTTTAACCCTGGTTATACCGGAAAAGAAGTAGGGAGATAAGACCCGGTTGCACTTGGAGTGCATCTGCCTTCATTCACTTGTGGTGATTTCAGAAGTTAAAGCAGATGGAACCTAGTTCAATTCCAGACTGGGTCATGGTCAGCGACCACTGCTTTTTGTGTATGTTCCCAGTTGAATTTAAAGCATATATAACGTAGTTGCAGCAAGAGAATAAAGACCCGGTAGCACTTGGTCTGCATCTGCCTCTATTGGGCGTGGGACATGGATTACAGCAGAAGACCCTGGTTCGATTCCAGGCTGGGTCATATAAGCTCTGGTTGTGTTTTTTGCCCAATTCATCGGCTGATTTTAGCCTAGTTATACTGCGACGGAAGTAGAGGAAATAAGACCCGGTTGCACGGGGTGTGCATCTGCTCTCAATGTGGGCCTGCAATCTGTTAAAGCAGGCAACCCTGGTTCGACTCCAGGCTGGGTCTTGAGTCTGGCTCGATATTCTTTTTGCCCAACTCACCGGCCGATTTTAGCCCTGGTTATACTCTAGGAAAAGAAGGGGAATAAGACCCAGTAGCACGGGGTGTGCATCTGCTTTCGATGCTGAGCTCATCACGGGAAATTACAGCAGACAACTGGTTCGACTCCAGGCTGGGTCATAACAATGCAGCAACGAGTTTCTTTTTTGCCCAAGTCATCGGCTGAATTGTGCCCTTCCAATACTGTAACAGAAGTGAGGTGAATAAGACCCGGTAGCACGGGGTGTGCATCTGCCTTCATTACACAATCATTACATGTGTGAGAAGTATTGACGCAGAAGGACCTGGTTCGACTCCAGGCTGGTTCATGAATGTGTTCGTAATTTTTTTCCTCTGCAGTAGATGGTTCAATGTATCATCCCCGAACTCTTTTCGGCCGAGCTGGAACGGTTCAGTTGATACTTGGCTGAGACAATCACCTAAAAGCGACCCAAAAGAGAATTTCATGTGTCAATCTCGGGTCAGCATCCTGACATTGTGAATTCCCAGGCCCGGATCGAGACTGACACAGTCAATATCTCTCAAATGCACCACAGTTGCTCGTAGACGCAATCACGCACCATACTCTATCAGCCACCCTATCCCCCTTATCTACCATTATTCATCTTATCAACCACCCCGGCGCGCCTGATCCGCCCCTCCCTGATTGGCTGATGGAAGATCAAACGTCTGATCCTGCGTCGGCGGTCAGGTGTGCCCTTATACGACATCGCCGCGTCCTCGTGAGCACCGAACCAGTGCCACCGTTTCTCTGCGGCTCACCATGTGCTCCGCGCGCCAGTGGCCAGCATATAAAACAGAAGCAGCAAGCAACGTCAGCCCCGCGTCGGTGTTCCACCCACCACCATTCCACCACCGCATACACAAACTAAAGACGAAGATGAAACTGACCCTGTGTTCGCCGCCGTTGCGCTCAGCGGGCGCGTGTTGGCGCAGTGTCCTGATTATACGGGGCACTCGCAGGTACGCTTCATTCGTTCGATGGATGTACGCGTCATTGAGTGCGTGGATAGAAAGCGCAAGGCAACCCGTCGAGTGGCCCGCTTGCGCTGCCATACATGCGTCCCAGTCCCGGTGCGTCCTGTTCCTATTCTATTCTTATACCTACATACATCAAACTCGCGCTTCGCTGTCGCTCATCCACCGTGTATTTAGCGTGTCGCACATTCAACAGCAGCGCTGTGGAGAAATTCATCACAGACATGAAAGCGCGCCTCAAAGACCCCGACATCGTGCGTCTCTTCGAGAACACGTTCCCCAATACGCTGGACACGACCGTGAGGTACTTCAATGCGACGTAGAATTTGGCGTTTATTATCACTGGGGTGCGTCCTTCTTCCTATCCCCTCCCTGTTGTCTTTTCCGCCTAAATCGTCTTTCATCCTATCTATGAACTAACACGGACACGCAGGACATAACCGCCCGATGTCTGCGCGACATCGCCAACCAATTCGCGCACTACACCGCCCTCCTCTCCGTCGACCCCTCCCTCGCCACGCTCGTCAAAGCCGTCATCAACAACGAGGCGCACTACGTCCTTCCAGCCCCCGCCTGAATCTGGGTTATCGCCGAGCCATAATGATTGGGCGGATGGGGTGACGGTTAATCCGTGCGTGTTTTTGTTTCTTCATGTTTCTGTTTTCTACCTTTCTGCTCTCTCTTTCTTTCGGACCACTGCCCCTTTTCATGTGCCTCTCCTTCATCTCCTTTTTCTCCTGTACAGGAGTTGGGGAGACAATACTCGGTTGCACGGGGTGCATCTGCTTTCAACAGTACAGAAATATGTTGCTGAACCAGGGAAATCTGGTTGGATTTAAGATTGGGGTCATTCAACATTAATGTAATCACTTATCGGTCTCAGCAGCGTATTTACGTGGTGGCCGAGTTCGAAGCCTCTCAATGGAAACATGGACGGTTTACCGCAGCCAATCCCTTTTCATATTGTATTGCGATAATGAACGCAAATTACGACGAAGCAGTGGGTACTGAGAGTTGTATCCTTCAATGGTGCACGAAACGGGGGTAACAATCTTTGTAATGCGCAGATAGACCACCGGACGGCCACTACACTCGGGTCTGGTCGAGGGCTCGAAACGGGCGTGAAAAGAGCCTGAGGAATGTATATAGGACGTGCAGAATTGCAGAGGAACATGGATGGCGACATACCAGTTCATTGAGTATAAAAGTTGAGTTCGGACCTGGATTGGAGCAGATGGGAGAAACGCAGTTCATGTCGTGCTTTTGCGACGACGCTGCGAAAGAGCGCGCTGCAGGAGAAGTTGACGGGGAATTCTTGGCTGAGGCGAAGCAAAGTAAGTTCAGAATCCATCCGGTGGTCGCTGGCGAGGTTGCGGCACCGTGAGAATTGTGCTGGCGTTGCCAGATTCTCGTGCAGAAGCTGATCACAAATCCTACTGTCTCGTTTTGCACAGGCTATTTGGGGGAGGATAATTTGCCGAGGTAATCCTGAAGGTACGAGCAGGTCATGGCCATGGAGGAAACTTGAAAGAGGATGGCACATCATCCGAGACGACACGGAAGCGGATGCTGCCTTCCAGAGGTGCAGCATGCCGGTCTCGATGGTAGTACGGAAACCCAGTAGAATGGTCCGGAAACGGAAGGGGCCGGTGATAGGCTGGTGGTGATAAATCAGCAACGCTGTTGGTCTTGCTGCTGGTTGCTTAGGTCGTGATTCTGGGAAGATTATGGTAATCGTTGCCCGGTGCGATAAGTCGAGGTAGTCGCCTGAATTGATGAGAGCAGGTTTCAATGTTCAACTATGTGTTGACTTGGGCGCTTACGCGCTGAGAATTTAAAGCTGTTACTTGGTTGTTACTGTCACCTGCAAGCAAATCACTTGGTTGAGCGCAAGAGACTGGAAGCGTAGTGGGTCAGGATCCGCTTGGGTGTGAACGGTGCAGCGACGAGTAAAGAACCCTAGGCTAAATGCTTGACGACCCAAACCAACTAGCGGTGCAGATATGAGGGCGTTCATGATGTGTGCCAACGCATGACAGGTGATCGAGGACACAGCGGAACATGCTCTCGGCATCTCCCGCCACAACTTGTACTCCGAGTCCACAGTGCTTGCCACAGTGGTTGTGTCCTCTACCCGAGGCAGCTTCAGTCGGGTCGGAGGCGTCGCATTCTTCAGCTGAGATTCGTAAACAGCCCTACACCGTTCTTTACAGCGTCGCAAAGCCCGACGTCAGTTGTTGGCACTAGTCTCTTATAACCAGACGCTACAACAATAGAGTGCTCGTACCTCGCATGTTGTAAGTTGTTGGTCAGTTGGCAGTTCAATTGGTTGGCTTTTTCGCAGTACAGAGTTGAAACCCGGATGCGAAAAATTTAAAACTTGTCCGTTTGTCCCAATGGCATGCCAGAC